TAGCTTAAAACACTCCATGACATATATAGGGATAGATTGAGCAATGACCTTTATTGGAATTTTTTTATCCACTTTGGAAAGAAGTTGTTCCTTCCAACCTTGGAGCTTTTTCCATACCCTTTTTTGAATACTAGCAAAAACCTCCTTCTTGGACTTACCCACCAACGAAGGCAAACCTAGGTATTTTTCATGTTGCCGAACCTGCGCCATTCCTAACACCTTACCCAACTCTTTAGCTACATGAAGTTATTTTGCTTGTGTAACACTTTGTTGTCTCAATTTTTTCTTATTTTGACATATGAATTTATAGTGTGACAAAGAATTTTTGATAATTTTTTTCAGATGCAAAAACATCATTGATGCAGTGGTTTGGACACTACGGTTACACTCACACATTCATTTGGTTTAATAGTGTGACATTATTGGCTGAGCGGCTTGAACACAATAATTACATACACATTTTTTTGTTTTAATGGTGTAACAACATAGTATGATATCATTGTTTCATAGCTTAACCACTACGATTACAAACGTGTACATTCTTTTGATTTGATAGTGTGACAAAATAGTGTGATAGCATTGGTTCATGTGTTGATGCAATCACAATTAACAAAATAAATTATAGTTATCATATATATAACTCCCCACATCTATGTCATTTGTTTTGCAAGCATAAAGACATAAATGCCCTTAAACTGTATCATGTGTGACACATGCTATTTTTCGTCATCAATTTAAACAACAGTTAGTACAAAGTATGACATTAGTTCAATATGTGAACTTTAAGGACTAAATTAATGGAATTAAAATTTTAGAGACTAAAGTTCAATTAATGGCAAACTTCAAGGACTATTGGTACAATTTACTTTCTTTCCAATGGACTTTCCTCAGAGCTTGAACCCCACAAGAATTGTTTTACATATCTGCTAAGTGAGCCACATAATTTATTTGGAAAAGCCACACGTTGCATAGGTTTTGATAATTAGTTTAACCAATTAAAGCTTGAATGTTACCACAAAAGAACCGAATAATCAGACTATACACCAAAAATTATTTTCGATACTGTATTTTTTTTTTCCGTCCAATAAAAATATAACACGGGTGAATTTTTTATATTATTAGTTTACTTTTTTCTTATCATAATTTTTAGAAAAAATTACGAATAAGTATAGGTTTTCTTCACAAAAATCTATTAAATCCTATAATTTTTATTTTATATCAATGAAGTCATATTGTTGATATTTTATTTCAATTAAATTCTAAATTTTATTATATTCCAATTTTATCATTACCTTTTAGTTATTAAAAATCTTTCATTCTTTTGTATTCTTCAAACCAATTAAGAGAACACAAATTTCTTGCTTGCAAAATTACTATTGAAACCCATAAAAAAACTAGTTCATATAAATTTCATGGTAGGACCCAAATAAAACTAACATTTTCTTATTTTCTTATCTCATTAGGGTACTTAATTTTAAAAATCGAGACAATGTTTACCAGTTATTTAATAAAATAAGAATGGTTAAAAAACAACTACATTGATAATATTTTTCGATTAATTCTATTTTAATGTTGTTATTGATTTAAACACAACAACTAAAATAAATCTCTAACTTATGGTGTGTTTGTTAACCCAAATTTAACACTTAAAATTAATGTATTAAACATTTATTAATTAAACCCGTTTGGTAACTAAAATTGAAACTCTCTTAATATATTATATACTCCTTAAAAATACGTTACAATATTAAGTAGAAGATTCTTTACTTAATTCTGAAAGCTGAAAGCGCTCAGCAAAACTGTCTTTAATAATATTTATAATATGACAATTATACCCCGAAACATTTTACAATCCTATTAAAACTTTAATTAGCCTTATTTTCAAAACCCCTAATCTATCTATCGTCCTTATTAATCTCTTTTTCAACAAGTAACAAATAAATCTTCTTTCTTGTCTTCTTCTTCTCGTTTCCTTGTCTTATGCAACAAAAAAATATATAATAAATAATTACGCACACACATACACATGCACTGTGCATACACACACACATATATTAGTTATTGTTCTCTTTTTTTGATAAGATTTTATTGTTTACTTATTGTGTTATTCAGATGTTATTTATTTAATTTTTTTAATCACATGTTTGTTAAATGTAGACTACAATATAATAATAGTGATTATGATATATTTTATAAAAATTTTCAAATTAAAGAGTAGAAGGGTAAAAATAAAAATTAATTTATTTTCAGACATCAGCTCTTTATAATTATCAAACAGTTTAGTTCAATTCAGTACTTAAATTTCAGTGGATATCAAACAGTCCACAAATTCAGTATTCAGCTTTCAACTTTTAGTTTTCAGTTTTATTAAACACCACTTTAATCATTTGAAATCTAATATAAATTAATAGAATATAGTTTTGGTAAGAATTAACTTAAATTAATATTGATATAGAATTTGTAATATTCAATTAATTGATTCTAAGAATGCAAAAGAATAAAAGAGTTTGGATAACTAAAAGGTAATGATAAAATTAGAATATAATGAAATTAAGGCTTAATTAAAATAAAACATTAAAAATAGGACTTCATTGATATAAAACAAAAATAATAAGATTTAATGGATATTTGTAGGGAATAGTAATACTTATTGGTAATTTTTCTTAATTTTTATGCTCAAATGTTAAAATTAAATTATGACAAAATTTAGGAATTATAATTATTCTTATGCTCCGTTTGGTACGGTGGAAAAGTGGAAGGATTGAAAGTTGGAAGGATGAAAAGTTGAAGGAATAAATAAAACATGTTGTTTGGTAAGGAATGAAAGTAAGAAGTATAAAAAAGTTGATACATTAACTTTTCTTCCAACTTACCAAAATCAATCTCTCCAAAATCGGAAAGAATGTGGATAGAAAGTTAATTATTTATGTTGAGATGTATCTTATTTGTCTATATATCTTTTTTATATATACTTATATTAAAAAATTTTAAAAATAATAAAATAAAAATAAAAATTTTAAATTAAAAAATATATATTTTTCATCTTAATTAAGAGTGAAAATTTTCGATTCAATACGATGACACGACTCTAACTCGATATGAAAATAAACAGGTCAACTTGTAACTCGACACGACACAATTAGTTAAATGAATTAAGTTAGGTTTCACTAATATTTGACACAAACCTGTAATGACTCAACACGAATCTAACACGACACGACTCGATTATTACCCCTAATCTTAGCCAGTATAAAAAAAAATAGTTATTTTTATTTTTCATCTATTCAACCAAACATAAAAGAAAAAAAATGTATACTTCGTATTTTTCATCCTCCTTACCAAACGTACTGCAGTATCAAAAAAATTACTTTGTGCTATCACAATTCATAGCGTGTATTTTTAGGAATGTCCTGCACTCTTGCTACAATAGTGTTATCCAAGAACAAATATAAAACCAGTCAATCTACTCCCAGTTTCCAAACAGCCAGATATCCACCTTTCATTTTCAGTACCAAAAAAAGGCGCCAAAAAACAAAGTCCAAAGCTTTCCCTTCCTCCCAAATCAAAGCACAAAAGTTAATCGCATNTCCACAAATTCAGTATTCAGCTTTCAACTTTTAGTTTTCAGTTTTATTAAACACCACTTTAATCATTTGAAATCTAATATAAATTAATAGAATATAGTTTTGGTAAGAATTAACTTAAATTAATATTGATATAGAATTTGTAATATTCAATTAATTGATTCTAAGAATGCAAAAGAATAAAAGAGTTTGGATAACTAAAAGGTAATGATAAAATTAGAATATAATGAAATTAAGGCTTAATTAAAATAAAACATTAAAAATAGGACTTCATTGATATAAAACAAAAATAATAAGATTTAATGGATATTTGTAGGGAATAGTAATACTTATTGGTAATTTTTCTTAATTTTTATGCTCAAATGTTAAAATTAAATTATGACAAAATTTAGGAATTATAATTATTCTTATGCTCCGTTTGGTACGGTGGAAAAGTGGAAGGATTGAAAGTTGGAAGGATGAAAAGTTGAAGGAATAAATAAAACATGTTGTTTGGTAAGGAATGAAAGTAAGAAGTATAAAAAAGTTGATACATTAACTTTTCTTCCAACTTACCAAAATCAATCTCTCCAAAATCGGAAAGAATGTGGATAGAAAGTTAATTATTTATGTTGAGATGTATCTTATTTGTCTATATATCTTTTTTATATATACTTATATTAAAAAATTTTAAAAATAATAAAATAAAAATAAAAATTTTAAATTAAAAAATATATATTTTTCATCTTAATTAAGAGTGAAAATTTTCGATTCAATACGATGACACGACTCTAACTCGATATGAAAATAAACAGGTCAACTTGTAACTCGACACGACACAATTAGTTAAATGAATTAAGTTAGGTTTCACTAATATTTGACACAAACCTGTAATGACTCAACACGAATCTAACACGACACGACTCGATTATTACCCCTAATCTTAGCCAGTATAAAAAAAAATAGTTATTTTTATTTTTCATCTATTCAACCAAACATAAAAGAAAAAAAATGTATACTTCGTATTTTTCATCCTCCTTACCAAACGTACTGCAGTATCAAAAAAATTACTTTGTGCTATCACAATTCATAGCGTGTATTTTTAGGAATGTCCTGCACTCTTGCTACAATAGTGTTATCCAAGAACAAATATAAAACCAGTCAATCTACTCCCAGTTTCCAAACAGCCAGATATCCACCTTTCATTTTCAGTACCAAAAAAAGGCGCCAAAAAACAAAGTCCAAAGCTTTCCCTTCCTCCCAAATCAAAGCACAAAAGTTAATCGCATCTGAATCGTCCATTTGCTTATTCATCTAAACAGATCAATCCAACAGCCCAAACGATCGCCAAAGTCACCGATCCGCGTGAAACGTTCACTAACCAATAATATTTCACCTCCCCCATCTATATAATTACATCCCCACAGCCTCATCTCCATCCACTCTCAATCCATTCGACTCTCTTCAGATCTAATCAATTCTCAGGTTACCAAATTCCGAACCCTTGCTCTCTTTCTCTGTGTGGTTTCTTCCTCTACAGTCTGTACTCTCCGATGGCTCCTAAGGCCGAGAAGAAGCCCGCCGAGAAGAAGCCGGCCGAGGAGAAGAAAACCGTCGCCGAGAAAGCTCCGGCTGAGAAGAAGCCGAAGGCAGGAAAGAAGCTCCCGAAAGAGGGCGGTGCCGCTGCCGGGGACAAGAAGAAGAAGAGAACGAAGAAGAGCATCGAGACCTACAAGATCTACATCTTCAAGGTCCTTAAGCAGGTCCACCCTGATATTGGGATCTCCAGCAAGGCCATGGGGATTATGAACAGCTTCATCAACGACATCTTTGAGAAGCTAGCCCAGGAGTCCTCCAGACTCGCGAGGTACAACAAGAAGCCCACCATCACCTCTCGGGAGATCCAGACTGCTGTGAGGTTGGTGCTTCCTGGTGAATTGGCCAAGCACGCCGTATCTGAGGGGACGAAGGCGGTGACCAAGTTCACGAGCTCTTGAAGATATTGTCGATCGGTTCGCTGATCTGTTGGTCCTGGTGTGTTGGTTGGTGTGGTATGGAAAATCTAGGGTTAGGGTTTTCTGTATTAGCTGTCTATTAGGTTGTTTCTTGTTTATTTCAGTATTAGATTTGTCTTTAATTCCTGTTTCAGTTGTGGATTTGGATTGACTTGATCCAACTTGTGTAGAGAGCTTGGTATGGAATATATTCAATAGCCTTCTTTCGCTCTAAAATTTGCCCTTTTGAAACCCTTTTTTGCACTCACTTCTATTGGATTTCTTAGCATATATTATGGGAATATGGAGGTCATGGGAGAGGTGGACACTGATTTTCTCTGCACTAATCTCAGCACAACTGGGAGTATCAATTTTCTTGACATTGGAGCTGTGATTTTTTTTTTTGAGGTGTCTATGAGCTGAGAAGCTTGATTGTAGCAATTTGAAGAGTTCATTGGGGAAAATTCTAACTTGGTTCTGATGATTTTTATTTTTATTTTTGCCTCGGACTTCTTAGACATTATCTTTATAATCAGGAGGAAGTAGTAATGTGCTATAAAGTTGGGATGAGTTGGGACAATGATACTGATTGTTCAAGAATAAACTAAACTTTTGTACATTTGAAAAAATCTTAGAGAAACTATGCAAGTAGGAATTGCTTATAATTTGGGGATTTTTATGAGACAGGAATTTGTCTGGGTTTTGGTTTGAACCAAGTGGTAAGTTTCTACCTAATTAAGTTTTGTGTAACACAATTGTGGAGTCTCAGTTGAATCTTCATTTGTTTAAGCTAGACACCTATTAATTGATTGGTGATTTAACGATGGATGAGATTCGAATTGCTCTTTGTGCTTTTCACCTCTTTGCATATAGAGTGTCAACTGCCAGAAGAGTGAGAAAAACAGAATATTCTGACTACTACTTATATGCTCTGGTTACGCAATCAAGATTCAATTTCTTGTGGCAAGAACTCTCTCTTTGTGGCCTGATAACCTAAGTTCATGCCTTCTTGAACTTGAATGCATCACGATTAGAACTGACATTTGCCATTACTATCATCTCTTTTGTTGAATTCTTACTCTTTTTTGGGTTCATCCTCCATCAGATTGTTAGATCATAGGTCCAATATTTTCCTTGAATTCCTGCAGAATACCTTCTTGCCTTAAACCTGCTTCATTGATCAGATAGCTTCAACAATGGGAAGGCCCTTTCTAATTGAATATAATCAAATTCCAAGTGAAAATTTCTTCCTATGCCGTCTATGCCGAACCCACATTGCCTTAACCCAAGAGTTTGTTTTCAAAGTAAAATCTCTCTCTCTCTCTCCCCCCTTTAATATTGCATATTTGGTGCCATGGATCAGTTTTGTTTTTATATGAAGAAATTATGCAATGTATATATATGCATGTGTTACTTTCATACTGTCACAATTGTGTTAGTTTTGAACTTCAAATCCTGTTGTATGGCTTGGATAGTTTCTTGGAATTGAGTATGTTCTTGATGATAGCAGACTTGGCAGTGCAACCAAAATGTTTGTTCGTTGTTGTTGCATTCAAGATAATCATGGACTCATGTTTTTCATCTTGTTCTGGTCTGGCAGCGATCAAACTCCATAGTATATATGTTTCAAATGTCCAGAGGAATGGGGGAGAGATGTAGTTTTTGGACTTGATTATATTACACTAGTTTTGGAAGAATGTTAATTAGATATAATTTGAACATGGTGATACTTATAATTGTTGGACTATATCTAAAGCTGGAGCATTCTCAGAAGATGAAGATAGGTGCTTATTAGTTTTTCCCATATGGATTGCCCAGAATCCATTTGGACATGAATGGTGAAATTGCAGTAATTAACTTACTGCTGGTTCATTATGTGTATTGCTTCTTACCTAATATCTAATATTGTAATGATAATAGGTCTTATTGAAGCACATATAATTACTTTTTCTCATTACTGTTTTGAACATATGTTTCAGGACCCAATGGCCAATGTAGGAATCTTCAACAATGCGTAAGTTTCCATGGTTATATAATGCAGTTTCTTGATATACGATTATAGCAACCCGCTTTTTTTCCTTTTTTTGTTGGTGTGATGTTCTTGTTAACAAGATAATTTTATGTTTTTTCTACGAACCATATGCGTTAAATTTAGCAATCATGGCGCGACTGATGTATGTCTGATGCAGTGTGAATGTGGAAATCGATGGCCCAGCACACTATCATAGGGAGGCCGCCACTGCTAACACAGTAGCTGATGTTCACTGTAAGACATGCAACTGGGTCCTGGGCAAGAAATTTGTAAGCTAATTGTCATTCTCTTCCAATGTAAATATTTCCCCGTTTTCAACACTAGCCACAGATCTCCTAAAAGAATGCCACATTGTTCAGGTTGAAGTTCAAAGTGAAAACATAGTGATCAAACGAGGAAGATTGTTGCTGCGTTTGTAATAATCCAGAATACATTTGCTACAATTGAATGCAGTGCTTTGTTGTATTGATTTTCTTGCTGATTTTAAGTTTAAAAATTGATGGGCAGGGAAAAGCTGTTGATGTGGGAGGGAACTCAGATGGTGTATGCAGACACTAACGAACCAGTTGAAAATGCATAAACTGGCTGCAGTAGAAGTAGTTACATGGACATCAAGTGAAGGACTCTTCTCGAATTTTATGGAACTTCATATTTACAAGCACAAAATTCATATTCATTCCAATTGTATTTTTGTTTCTGGTTGTAGTTTTGGTGACATACTTATTTGTCTCAATACTCTCTAAAGTGTAATAAGTTGCAACCTTGCTGATGCTGCTGTTGGTAGAGGCATCTATGTAATAGTCCACTGCTGATTGAGAAGAAATTGTATTATGTGTCTGACCAAAAGAGAAAAACAAAAACAAAAAGCAACCCAAAGAAGGTTGAATTGTTGAGGCTAACAGTTGACAACGAACTGGGCAAGGCCAGCCCGAGCTTAGATTTTCTGGCCCAGGCCTCTATCGGTCTCGGTAATCGGTCTCGGTAACTTGGGCTTTGATCAGTGAAGGCCTTGGGGTTAGGCCTGACAGAAATCCCTAAGTTCATGGTCTGACTGACAACCCAGTCGTAATGAGCCCTTAATGGGCTAACCTGTGGCCTTAAATCAGCCTTTTTTTAATAAGAAAAATTAAAATATTTATTGGATAATTAGGTAATAAAAAATATTTAAAACTACAATATGTTTTTTTTTTTTGNACTGTAAGACATGCAACTGGGTCCTGGGCAAGAAATTTGTAAGCTAATTGTCATTCTCTTCCAATGTAAATATTTCCCCGTTTTCAACACTAGCCACAGATCTCCTAAAAGAATGCCACATTGTTCAGGTTGAAGTTCAAAGTGAAAACATAGTGATCAAACGAGGAAGATTGTTGCTGCGTTTGTAATAATCCAGAATACATTTGCTACAATTGAATGCAGTGCTTTGTTGTATTGATTTTCTTGCTGATTTTAAGTTTAAAAATTGATGGGCAGGGAAAAGCTGTTGATGTGGGAGGGAACTCAGATGGTGTATGCAGACACTAACGAACCAGTTGAAAATGCATAAACTGGCTGCAGTAGAAGTAGTTACATGGACATCAAGTGAAGGACTCTTCTCGAATTTTATGGAACTTCATATTTACAAGCACAAAATTCATATTCATTCCAATTGTATTTTTGTTTCTGGTTGTAGTTTTGGTGACATACTTATTTGTCTCAATACTCTCTAAAGTGTAATAAGTTGCAACCTTGCTGATGCTGCTGTTGGTAGAGGCATCTATGTAATAGTCCACTGCTGATTGAGAAGAAATTGTATTATGTGTCTGACCAAAAGAGAAAAACAAAAACAAAAAGCAACCCAAAGAAGGTTGAATTGTTGAGGCTAACAGTTGACAACGAACTGGGCAAGGCCAGCCCGAGCTTAGATTTTCTGGCCCAGGCCTCTATCGGTCTCGGTAATCGGTCTCGGTAACTTGGGCTTTGATCAGTGAAGGCCTTGGGGTTAGGCCTGACAGAAATCCCTAAGTTCATGGTCTGACTGACAACCCAGTCGTAATGAGCCCTTAATGGGCTAACCTGTGGCCTTAAATCAGCCTTTTTTTAATAAGAAAAATTAAAATATTTATTGGATAATTAGGTAATAAAAAATATTTAAAACTACAATATGTTTTTTTTTTTTGGTCTGAAATGCAATATGTAATTAATAACTGAAATTTTAGACACCAATAGACTTGATAATCAAAAAGTTTGAGCTACTTAAGTCAAATAAATTTTTTAGAGTTTACTCACCTACAATTTTTTGTTTTTTTTTCCCAAAAAAAGGCTATCGGGCCCGACTGGCCCTAACCATCAGTTGGCAGGCTGTGGATAGCCCATTGACCAACGTTTTTGTATACAAATTTTTATAAATTTGTCTTTTGCGAGGAAAAAAGAACTTATCATTCATGTTTTCAAAATAAAATAACAAGAAAAAAAATTAGCTCACACAGGAATAAGGTCGTGTTTGGCATCATGAGAAAGAGAAGAAAATAGGGCCGGGCCGCGGACGATGAAGGAGGAAGAGGCCGTTTGGTTGCAATTGTTTTGCGGAAGTGAAAGGAATAAGTTCAGCTACTTATTATGACTGATACAACCTTCTTTTCGGAACTCACATGGCAAAAAGAATTGGTTCGCAGCTATTTGTCAGCAGTATGTTCCTCTCTGTACTCATATATATGGCCGTGTGATGTTTCCTTTAAAACCCATATTTTTCATATGCTCTTTGTCTCTCTCTTGCCTAGGATTGTCATTTTACACCACGAATCAAGAATTGATGAGGTTGTTCTTACCGTTTGGCAAAGTTGCAGAAGGTAATGTTAGTTTTCGTTAAGTGGATGTCCTTGTGGGTGTTCAATTTGGTGTTGGTTTTGTTGATAAATGTGTGTGATTATGTGGCTTTTCTTTTGGTGATGTTATAATGTTTGTATAACTATACATGTATTCGAGGCAGCCAGGCTTATTAAAGACCCAAGAACCCAGAGGCCTAAAGGGTTTGGTTTTGTCACCTTTGAGTCAGATGCTGATGCCCAGAATGCTTTGAAGGCCATGAACGGCAAGGTATTCCCTCCCTCTCTCTCTACGTATATGCATTGGTATTCATATGTGTGTCTATATATATTTATATAATATGTGTGTGTGTGTTTCTTAAGCCATATATATTATTGTTAGTACTTAGTGGTATGGATATTGAATGGAAGTCATTTGCCTTGTTTCACTTGGAATTGTAATTATTGTTTAGTCTCGTAGGTTTACAACTACCATCAGAAAAGTTTTCATTTTTCATTCGTGACCATGCTTTTATATTTCCATTCATTTGGAACATTTCGTATTCTGAGAAAAATCTTGTCTTATATAAATTGGTAGAAGTAATTGCACCAAGAAGGTTTATAAAAAGAAAGTGTGGAGGATACAATTCGAAATCCTGTGAGGACAAACAGGTTTAGATGAGTGACTTTCTGACCATTGACATTACCAATCAAATGTGGTGAAAGGTGGTGCCCTTTTTACTCTTGGATTTATCCAAAATTAATTTTGATTCAGTTATCAGATGTGTTGCTCATACTCATTACTTGTGCATTGATGATTTCCCCCCAAATGTGGCACTAAGGCTTGTAGAGAGTGAATTTCAAAAACTTGATCAATACACATACTTGAGATATATAGCGAATTCTAAGAAAATTTCAGTGCAATTCATTTATTTATGTTTAGGATGGGATACTTATGCTTAGATAAAGGTTTTATTTCTCCCTGTCGATTCATTGGGTCTTCTGGCTAGGGTTCTATGCTTCTAGCTAGGGAAAAAATGTTGCTATGAGTTCTGTGCCGTCATCTTATGGTATACAGCGAATGTGGTCCCATGTGGAGCATTTACCCTTCAATGGGAGAGGTTGTTAATGCTATTAGCTGTTATCCTGCAGGATTGCATGCTGTTCCTATATGGAATATCTGGGCTCTCACACTTTTTGTTCACATAGTTGTGTGCACAAAAGAATGCCACATTTCAGAGTTTTCTCTTTGTTATACTAATAAAGGGGAGAATATAGACAGAGAGAGGACAGGTTGAAGGAAAAACTGTAAGATACGGAGTTAAGAATGGACCTTTGTGTTGTTATTGATTCATGGCATTTGTCGTAACCAAATAAGAACCAAAAAAATTATATCAATCACAACTCTGTTTTCTGAGCTGGTTAAGACACCTCACTAAATTAATTGGGTGACAATAATATGAACCCCTTTAGATCAGCATGTCAAATAAATGAGCTTGTATCTTGAACATACATCCAGCACTTTCATCCAACCTAAAAAATGACAAGATAAAGTATAGATCAGTTGCAACAATATGTTTGAAACTTGTTAAAGCACCTCCCTGAACTGGATTAGAATGAAACACACCCACATAGATCCCATCAAATAGTTCCTAAAAATAATGAAGATTTCGCAGCAAATTATAGACAGCTGAAGCCTGAAAGTTTGTATCTGATCTGGCAATAGTAAGTTTACCAAAACATGCACACAGAAAGTATAGATTCAGCTTCCAAAAGTATTTTCTACTGATAATAATGATAATGATGCACTTGTTCAACTTGAATCACTGATGCCTTTTGAATTAGTAAACCTTCTATAGCAGATTATCTGCTGCCTACTTGCTACTGTGCTGAGGAGTCATGTCTTATTTTGTTTTCAGTCGTGCCACAGAACCTAGATCTTGTAGGAATCAAGTGCTGGAGTAGAAACTATGTATTGATTTGGTCTGCTGATGTTAAGTTATGTGTGTTGAATATCTAATCCCACTTAAGAGTTGTTCTGTAGAGAAATAAGATAGAATGAACGAGGGTGTTCCATTCATGCTTTCATTTAGTGGCCATTTTGATTTTACATAAGTGAGTAAGTTCATTGCAAGAGATTTTTTCCTGCAAAGCATATGATTTTAGGAGAGTCACTCAGGAGGGCGCATCTGTTTCATCTATATTGTGTTATGTTCCATCTTTTCATGTGAGGAAGATTTGGTATTATTTTTGACAACAATAATATTATTTGGACCTAATTTTCTTTGAAGGCAAGGACCATTGATTCTCAGAGTTCTTAATACTAATCAAAATATTTCCAAAAGTCCTTAATAATGTAGTCAGGTAGTAACGATATCCTGCCATATGAGTTTTTTTTTTTGAACTGGCTGCTATATGAGTTCACTTAATCAGAAAATGCTAATCTAAATGTTAATACTTCATGCTAGTAAAATGTTTCCTCTGTTATTTCTGCCATTGTTTCGGTTGTAAAACAGCGCAACCCAAGCCACGTGACCATTAACATGTTATCTTAAGCTTGCTAAAATTGGCATTTGTTAGTATCTCTGTGCGGAGTATATTTTGTTCCATGCTTGTCTTTCATTTCTTTTAAAATCATT